AAGCTTCTCATAAACTATTAAAAAGCGGGGCACCAGGGAAAATGTCAATCACCACTGTGCAAGAACCACAGTAAGAACAGAAACCACATAAACCCTAAAACAGTGCCATATTACACTAACAGAGTACTAAAACACTTTAATCAAGCAGATAAAAAAGGGCAGAAGTTACAGAATTATGTCTGTCAATTAAAAAAAATTTTTTTGGCTGCCAAGCAAATACTAGGTGTTATATTCAGACTCCTCCAAATTGACATTTTCTCCATTCCTGAAGTCATGCTACAAAGACAAGGATCTAAGTGCTAATACACCACACAGCCACTACCTCGAGATTAAAGAGAAGATACTGTAGGACATATGACTGAGGTATCTGCTGCCAGTTCCAGTATGGCAGAAAATTATTACTGGGACCAAGTGGGAGCCAAAAGGTAAGCCGTCTCTTATGGTGAAGAGTCTGACTAGATGAAGTGACCAATTAACCAGGAACATGTCACTGAAGTTTTGATTTCAGCCTTTCAAGAATTATTAATTTTATCACTGAAACAGATATCCAGAAACAGACTTTGTGGATAATCTCTTCAACACATCCAGATATACTTTAAACCTTAAGGACTTCTCAATAAAATCTAGATTGATGGCACCCTATTTACGACAATTAAGGGGACCAGATTGTCAGGTATGTTTAGAATTCTTGCTAGTTCAGATTTGCATGCCTGGATGATGTGAATAGCATCCTTTACTTCCAGGGCACTCATGTGCATACCTTTCTTATATTTAGAGTGTGATGTATTATCAAGCTCAAAACAACTGTTTTAGAAGGTGGGTTTAAGAAGGCCATCTTGGTGAAAGGCCTAGGTTATAGAGTGAAACAACCATTACTGGGTCTCTTAGCTTGTTGATGTGAGAGCTTGACAGATCAAAGACTATTAGGATTGATTACAATAAAATATTCTCTCACATGTAGCTTTATGAGTGGTGATGGTATGTGGCCCATCAGAGTCTTGATGAACAAAGTTGCTGTGAAAATTTCTACAGAAACATTATAGGTAGGAAAGTTTTTTTCCATCTGGTGTCCACAGTAGACCTGTGACATCTAGCCATTCCAAGTGGAAGCAAACAGGATTTGGCAAAATTTGATTTGAAGTCCAATTGGCAGAAAGCTTCATGGCCAATTCCGAGCTTGAGAGTACTGCGAACTCTTGTGAACTGATATCTTGATGTAAAGAGATTGTTAACACTCAAGATTTGTCATTTTGTGAAGATCTGTCAAGCTGAAGCCCAAACAAGGAAGCACTGATGACCTAAAATGAAGGATTTACTTCTGGTTTTAGTAAACAGAGATCTAAAAGTAGGTTATTTCTACATCCAGAAGCTGTCAGTCCTCAGTTTACCAATGAGATTTTCCTGAGGAACAAATCTATGTATTTTTCTTTAAACACAAGAGGATTCAGATTCCTGAGTGCCCTCTTCTGGACTTATTTGGACCAGAAATAACAGACAAGTCTTTGTCCAACTTTCCTTACAAGAAAGTCTCCACTGCCCACTTGGCCAATAAAGAATAACTCTCTTATTCATATACTTCATTCCAAAAGTCTAGAATTCAAATGTCAGCTGTGGTCACTCCAGACATGCATTTTGTTTTTGAGATAACTTCCTACCTGTAGATCCTGTTTGTGAACGAACAAGTAAATAGTTAAGATCTTGGATGATTAGTCTGCTGAACTTGAACACGTTATCAATTCTTGTACCCATGGCGTTCTGGAGACTCTCCCTTCTTTCTGTATCTGTAAGGGTGGTTTCGGGGTTTGTACCAATCCCCTCTGGAGTATCCTCTATTATGATAATGTGCTTTCTGGTCATGACTATAAAAATAACGATGCTGGTTATAATATTTATTGTGATCTTTATAGTCATTTTCTTTTATACTGTTTCCTTCTGCAATAACAGCTTTTACATCTTGTCCAAAAAGGGAAGAACCATCAAAGGGCAAATGAGAAATCTTCTCCTGGGTTTTCTTAGTGAGAGATGTAAGTCGGAGCCAGGCTTGCCTTCTGTAGTCTACTGCCATGGCCATAACTCTAACTACAGAGTCCATTATGTCCCTAGTAGTGCAAAGCTGCCAAAGGCCTGCATCCATACCATCAGATATTATACATCTTGCTTTTCCACGATCAAACTCTGGGTCATGGACCAGATCTTCCATGTCTTCCCAGAGTTTACGCTGATATTGAGTCATATAGGCCATGTAGCTAGCAGCCCGGGCTGCAATGGAGGCAGCATGGTAAAACCTACAACCCATGACCTCCATTTCTTTTGAGGTAGCATCCAGAGGTGATGTTGTATTTCCTCTTTTGCTGTGCTCTAACGCTTCAACAATGGGGCCCTCAGCTGGTGGATTTGGTTGAAAAGGAGAGGTATCCTTGGCCACAGGATATACCCTGTGTCCCATGAAGGAAGAAGGATGGCAATCAGCAGGATCTTTAAAAACCTCAGTGGTGGCAATCCTCAGAAGAGGATGTAGCGGAGGAACCAATCGTTTTTTAGAGGTCACACACTCAGGCTTCCCTTCACATGATTCTGTTTCAGACTGTAGTGTTACCCTCTTTATGACACCTCTTTGTTCCATTCTCTTCAAAAGACCTGTGAAACTAGATTGGCTGGGATCAGCTGGCTGCCCTTTGTCATCAGCTGATGGAGATTTGCAATCTGTTTCTTCTTCAACTGTGGATAAATTTTCTTCCTTAGAGGTGGAGATGTCCCAAGGAACCGAGGAGTTCTCACTTGGCCTAGAATGATGAAATCTAAAACAGCTCCTGGACTGCAGATCACGTATCACTCGAGACATCTCAGCTACTTGTGTCTGGAGATAGAGGATGGCATCTTGTCCATTCTGTGTAGCTGAAGAAGATTCTACAGGTAAATCCTCCTTGACCTGAGAAGAGGTCAGAGATTCCTGGGGGACCAAAAGTGGAGATGAACGGAGTGTCTGATAATTTTGTGATGATTTAAGTGTCTCTGTGTCAGAAATTTTAATATCTGAATTATTTTGATCATTTTTCTGGATCTCCAATGAATTCTCAACAGAGGATGGTTGAGAAACTATCCTTTGTGGACTGCTGGAGCAACTCCCAGAGGAGGAGCTGCTGTCTCCAATGATAAGAGGAACATTGCAGCTAGAGCACATTTCTGGGCGATGATTCTCAGAGGATGGCACCTTAGATTCAGGCATTCTCTGGGTTATCCACATGAACAAGAAAACCAAGGAAGAAAAAAAATATGCTTTTAATATGTTAACTTTCAAGTGCAGAGATGCATGTCCAGTAAGTAGAATTCAATTTTTAAATTATTATAATTAACAGTGAAAGATGTAATCCACTAAAGGTCAGCAAAGGAATCAAGAAGTCAAATTCACAAGTTTTATTACCCCAAAGACCTAAACATCAACTACTGGTATTAGTCTTTGAGACTCTGTTTATGAAAAAGGAGAAAAGTAAAAACAAGCTCAGTTTAAGTAGTGCTATCCTAGCCTGCTGCTTGGTCTTGTGCTAGGATAAGAAAAGGTGGTAAAACCACTGGTAACAATTAAAAAAAGAAAAACTAATTCCATTCAACATATGTATATCAGCAAGTGTAAGCTAGTGATGGCAGAGAGAACTTAAGGAAAATTCCACTAAAAGGAAAAAATATCTAAAACTCATTTAAGTCCCTTTAAAAATTCTGTCATTCACTCTCCATGAATAACAAAACTTTCTAATTTACAATCCTATTTCACAGTTTCTAGTTATTAAGAAGCTTACATATTTGTTACTTCATTCATCCTCACAACAACCCTGTGAGGTAGGTATCATTCTTATTTGAATAAAAAACTGAGATAAAAAGGTTAATTAATTAATTCATAGTCACAGAATTAGTAAAGATTAAAGCTAGGACTCAAACTCAAATATTTTGATTCCACGTCCAAGTCTCAATCCACTACATCATAGAGCAAGAAGCTCTCTAGTCACCGGAACAAGAGCCAGGTGTTCTTTAACCCAAGGAGACAACAGCCCATCAGTAGAAGTCTGGGCTAAGGCAAACGTAAATAAAAAACAAGATTGCTACAAAAGGCTCAACTAGTTCAATTCTCAGAGTAAGGGAGTTTTGGGTTAAGGGTCAAACCCACAACCAGTCCAGTGAGATAAGTAACTCCAAATACGTGTGATGAAAGAGGAGTTTAAAGGGATGATAACTAAAGTAATATATCATATATAATAAGCCCTTCCCCACATTCCATTTCCTAAAGGATCATTACAGTTTCCTCCAAGATAAAATAAATTTTCTGTGGTCACACGGTTCTGGATGCAAAGGATCCAGTTCTATAGGGTACTTGAACAGAGTATAGGAAAGGAAAAAGGAAAGAGGAGCCAAAAAGCTTGCAGTTTTTATTTCATTTCCCTTTTACCAGATATTACCTTTAAGGATTAAAGGGTCCCAGAGTCATGTTATCTTTTCACATTCTCAAAGAAGAACAAAATTCGAAGTAGATGTTCTGAGCAAAGGAACCCTGGACTACCTATGATGGCCCATTCTAACAAAAATAGGACACTCTCTAAAGCACTATAGCTCACACAGTCATCATTATTTGATAACTTTTTTTTTTTTTTTTTTGAGACAGACTCTCACTTTGTCACCCTCAGAAGAGTACTGTGGCATCAGAGCAACCTCCAGCACTTAGGCTTAGGTGATTCTCTTGCTTCAGCCTCCCAAGTAACTGGGACTACAAGTGCCTGCCACAATGCCCAACTATTTTTTTGTTGCAGTTTGGCTGGGGCCAGGTTCAAACCTGCCACCCTCGGTATTTGGGGCCAGTGCCCCACTCATGGAGTCACAGGCACTGCCCTGATTTGATAACTCTTTTAAGAGAGTATCTGTTAACTGACACAAGAAATACAAATCAAATTAATGTACTTACATCACTACGAGAGGTGCTAGGCTCATCATCATCACTGCTGACCAGATCAATGTATTCAAGAACAGGTCTTAATGGTCCTTCCTATAAAAGAAAGGAGCAAATTTATAAGTCATAAACAGCTATTTAAACCAAACTAGCATTTAAAACAAAATATATATTTTGGTTGAGATTGGCAATAATTCCTCTGAAAAGGAAGACTTATAGAGAATAACAACAACAGCAACAAAAACAGAAAAAAATATTCAGAATACAAAAGAAATGATAAGGCCTAAAAGGAAGAACCTAAACCCCTGTAGAACATTAAGGCCCTATCAATGGCTTGAAAAGGAAAATTAATACAGGAATAGCGCTATAAGAATACGAATATTATGGTCCAATTTTTTTCAGCAGGGATGGCTATCAACAGTCTGTTATGATATCCAAGCTCAAAACATGCAGTTCTTGGACTAACAGTCTGCTTCACCTTCCACCTCTACAGAGTCAATAATCAAACCCATTATTTCTTTCTATTCTTTCCTTCCATCTATTCATGCTTATTTTCTCATAAGCAAGGCCTTGAATGCCATGCTTAAAATTCCAGATTTTACTTAACAGGAAAAAGCAAACCAATAAATACTAAGATGAGAGTAGCATTATGAGAACTGTGCTTCAAGAAGATTAATCACACAGCAGAGTATAGAGAGTGGGAAAAGCTATATAACTAACTCATTAAGACAGATAACTAGTGATGGCAAGAAGTATATGGTGAAATATATTCAAGAGAATATGGGTAAAATGGAAAACTAAAAAGCACTGTCTACTGAAAAACAGTAAAACCTAAAAGTCAAAGTGGTCTCAGAGGTCTTAAGCTCTAATGACTAGCAGAATACTAATACCATTAAGTATAAGTTTGGAATACAGCAACCAAGCTGATATTCTTTTGCACATAATGAGGTTTAAGTACTAGTGGTGCACAGGAGGTTATCCACCAGAAGCAGGAAATGCAGGCCTTTAATCTGGGAGTATGAATATACCTGGAAATAAAGATTAGGGATTTGTTCCCCTACAAGATTATTAAACTCTAGAACTGGATAACTACAATATTACCTCAACAAAAAGTCATGAATGCCAAATGTGACCAAAAACACAGAGCACCAAGAGAATGCCACTGAATTTGGCAACCAGGTATTTCAAAATGCTTTCGAGAGAGAAATTTTCAGCAAAGTAAGGTGCACAGAAGCCAGGCTCTAAAAAATCAAATACAGAATGAGGTAGAAAAGGCCATTAGCAGAGATGATTCTTGGGCCAGGCGTGGTGGCACAAGCCTATAATCCTAGCACTCTGGGAGGCCAAGGCCAGTGGATCACTTGAGCTCAGGAGGTGAGACTAGAGTGACAAGCCATCTCTAAAAAAAAAAAAAAAAAAAAACCTGGGTGTTCTGGTATGTGCTTGCAGTCCCAGCTACTTGGGAGGCTGAGGCAAGAGAATAACTTGAGCCCAAGAAATTGACGCTGCTATGACCTAGGACACCATGGCATTCTACTAAGGATACAAAGTGAGACTCGGTCTCAAAAAAAAGATTATTTTTTTGAGCAATCCAGTATTTTGGAAATGAAGAGAAAGGAACACAAGAAAACAAATATAGCTGAGGGAAAGATTTCTTAAGATAAGGAGTAAGGAACAGAAGCTAAGATCTAGTTAATGATCCCCTTCTTTTCTGCTATGACTTACATCCAATCAGGGAGTTGCTATCCTTTGGAGGTAGCGATCCAGACACCAAGATAAAACCAGAGGGCAAGGCTCAGAGCCCATAGCACAGCAACACACCTGGAGGGGTGGCAGGTTTGAACCCAGCCTGGGTCAGCTAAACAACAATGACAACTGCAACAAAAAATAGCCAGGTGTTGTGGCAGGCGCCTGTCGTCCCAGCTACTTGGAAGGCTGAGACAGGAGAATTGCTTAAGTCTAAGAGTTTGAGGTTGCTGTGAGCACTCTACCAAGGGCAACACAGTGAGACTTCTGTCTCAAAAAAAAAAAAAAAAAAAAAAACAGAGGGCAAAATTCTGGGCAGGAATCTGCAATAAAGGAATTAGAGGAGTTTTGCTCAAGCTATAAAGATGAAAATAAAAAGAAAAGGCTCGGCGCCTGTGGTTCAAGTGGCTAAGGCGCCAGCCACATACACCTAAGGTGGCAAGTTTCAAACCAGCCTGGGCCCGCCAAACAACAATGATGGCTGCAACCAAAAAAAATAGCCCAGCGTTGTGGCGGGTGCCTGTGGTCCCAGCTACTTGGGAGGCGGAGGGCAGGGACTCGCTTAAGCCCAGGAGTTGGAGGTTGCTGTAAGCTGTGATGCCACGGCACTCTATCCAGGGGGATAGCTTGAGGCTCTGTCTCAAAAAAGAAAAAAGAAAAAGAAAGGAAAAGGGCAACAGATATTCTGCCCAGATAAAGCTGAGTTGCCTGTTTTAAGACTAAAACCCACCTCCAGTTTTAAGATTGTCAAAATCCTACATTCAATACAAGCAGGTAAAGCAGATAAAAATGAAACAGCTTTTTATACTGATATAATCACCTCAGTTTACTCTCTTTAAGAAATGCATAGAGGCAGGAGTAGAGTCCCAATAAACAGAGAGTAGGTAAAGAAAAGAGGGAGATTAAGGAAGATGACAGGACACAAATCAAAAAGTAAAAACAGAATACAGAAAATGGCCACAAATAGGATTAAAAAGTATCTGTAGAAAAAGCAGAAAGGGCAGGAATATGGTAAGATGAGATAAAACTATGAAAAATTTACTACTGGGGTAAACCACTAGACTGATAAACAACCATTTTTGAACTTCAAAAGAACAATTTCACATGATTCATACTGAGAGAATAAAAAAGAATCAGGGTAGAAAATCTAAAACTGAGAAAAAACATAGAAGTACCTCCAAGGAAAAGATTACTTACATAAATAGTGTGTACTTTTTCTAATATTCATAGTAGATATGGAAAAACTTTCAGTATAATGAATTCTAGGAATTAAAAGATATAGCAGGCTTGGCGCCTGTGGCTCAAGCAGCTAAGGCGCCAGCCACATACACCTGAGCTGGCGGGTTTGAATCCCGCGCAGGCCTGCCAAACAACAAGGACGGCTGTAACCAAAAATAGCTGGGCATTGTGGTAGGCGCCTGTAGTCCCAGCTACTTGGGAGGCTGAGGCAGGAGATGCGCTTGAGCCCAGGAGTTGGAGGTTGTTGTGAGCGTGATGCCATGGCACTCTACCCAGGGGGATAGCTTGAGGCTCCATCTCAAAAAAAAAAAAAGATATAGCATGCCATTTATTTTACTATTAATAATTAGCCCTCTATCACGCAATGTGCTAACCTTTTCATGTACATTATTTCTTTTAATCCTCACAATTGCTTTACAAGGTAAGATATGAATTATTACTATTATCCCATCTAACAGATGAGAAAATTGAATGATATACACCTGGATCTCTAAACACACAATTGACTGTGTGGTCACTATAATTCTGAGGTAGTTCAAAGAATAAATACTATTTCTTAATCAATGTTTATTATCTAAGTTTATGAGCGAATACATTTTTTCTTCCTTCAATAAGATAAAAAGGACTATCCCCTATTGCCCCCACTTCTGAATATTTCTTTTTTTTATAATTTTTTTTTTTTTTTTTTTTTTTTTTTTTTTTTTTGGCCAGGGCTGGGTTTGAACCCACCACCTTCAGCATATGGGGCCAGCACCCTACTCCTTTGAGCCACAGGTACCACCCCTGAATATTTCTTAATGATGGCTAAAAGTTACCAGTTCCTCAAAAGAAGCAATGTTTATATAATGCAAATAAAGAAAAATAATGTATTATATTTATAATTACTACTTATATCTTTAATAAATATAAATACACATGATCCTCCAACTACAAGGTATTTTATATCAATATGCTCTATCCATCCACTAGTAAACTATCATTCCCACCCCTTCTTGTACCAATAACAGAAATCAAAGAATTCCACACCTAATGCTATACCAGAGCACAAGCACAACAAGACAGTTTAGAAATGCACTTGAATTAATATTCTAACTTTAAAAAATAAAGGCTCCATTTTACTAAACTAAACAGAAAATATGAGTAACAGACCTAAATGAACAGTTTTTGTTAGGGTAACATTCTTTCTTGATTTTGGTGCTTTTTACTCAGGTGCATTGAAATGAAATGAAACAAAAAGCTTTCATTCCTGTTATTAGAAAACTACTTCTCAAAGCCAAAATACCAATTTCCTACTAGCAGCAAAAAGATATCATACACCAATACACGGTCTATTTAAAAAAGTACTTTACTACAAAGAATTCTCTAAAACAGAGAAGATGCATTTGACCATAAATCCAAAACTCTAAATAATTCACATTTTTTCCTAGCTAGGAAAGTTAGGGACATTGTTTACTTTTGCAGTCCCACCCAGCTCAAAAATTTCAAATGGTTCAAAAATGGCTACTTTATATTTAAATCCAGCATTAAGGACCTATACCTTCTCTCTCCCACTTAAAAAACACCTTATTTTCTAGAATTCCAAATAATCATTCGGCTTTCTCACTCTCCTAATTTTCTTCTGTTTAAAATACCCTCTTAGGCTCGGCGCCTGTGACTCAAGCGGCTAAGGCGCCAGCCACATACACCTAAGGTGG